GTAAAATCAATAAAATCTGCAGTCAAGCTTGGATATAAAAGAAGCATCCAAGAAAAGCCTAGTCATTTATGAGCAAGCATGAGTTGAGGCTTGCCACTTTGTCAAAACTGCATTAGCAAAAAAATTGTTATGTTCCTCACTCAGGGATTGCAAGGATTTTAGATTAGCTTCAGGGAATCCAAAGAACTCTCTGTGCATAAAAAGGAAAAAGTCTAAAGTGGATATCATTGCATGGGCTCAGGAATGCTTACACAAACTTTTGTCAGTAAATACTGTTGTTGCTGTATCCACAAATGCAAATTAAGACTGTACTGTGCATAGTGGAATCCATATATCAACAACATCCAAAAACATTGCCGACTTCTCTTGGCCTAAGCTAATCTGAAATGGACTGTTGCACAATGGAAACATGTATTGCAATCTGACAAGTCTGACTTTCAGATTGTTTATGGAAATAATGAATGTTGTGTTCTCTTGAACCAAAGGAGAAAAGGACTATCCAGATTGTCATCAGCGTAAAGTGAAAAAGCCAGACTCTGTCATGATATGGGGAGTATTAGTGGGTAATTTGCACATCTGTGAAAGCATAATTAATGCTGAACACGTTTTTGCCTTCTAAATGCTGTTTTTTTTCAGTCTCCCACTGAAAATGTTGACCTTATTAAACCCAAAATATGACAAGAAAAGGCCCATATAGTTGCACAGCTGACTGTCTAGCAAAATAGTGTCAAAAATTACACTTTAAAACTGAATCAGTTTGTATATTCAGCCCCAAACCATTGTTACTTGTTGTTAAAGGATAATGTAACACAGTGGTAAACATACTCCTGTTCCAACTTTTTTGGAATGTGTTGCAGGCATTAAATTTGAAATGAACATATACATACAAAACTACTAAGGGACACCTTCTTCAAAGAGGCTTTGAAGAGGCTCCTCTACATCACTCTCCATAGTCATCCTCTTTGTCTCCTCCTCCTCCTCAGTCCTCTCATCTGCTGGGTGATGAACTCAATGCTGTCTCTGGGGATAAACTCAGCAGTGTACCAAGAGGACAGACGCCTCTATGAATGACAGCCTTCGGCCTCATAATCATTGTGTTCCTCATAATCATTGTCTCCTGGTCTTCCTCCTCCATATCATCCTGAGCATCATAATCATTGTACATCGGTTGATGTTGGAAAACATACGTGCTCATTTCACACAGGTTAATCTGAGGAACGCTTCATAATTTTCATCACTTTAATCAAGAGTAACAGCTCCCATAGCAAAACAAACATTCTTGAAATTTCTATCAAACTAATAGCAATGATAAAATAAATGGACCAGTTTTCTGGCTTAAACCTGTACTAAATCTGCATTTTAGGGCACATTAGGCCTAAATTTGCCTATTAGTTTATATGATAAATTAAGTATTTCTTCTTTTGTTAGAAAATTGCACAGTGCACAGAAAAAAATAGGTTTTAGTAACAATGGCATAAGAAGAAATTAATTTGGAGTGGAGCTGTGAAATGCATACACTTAAAATAAATGAAAATAGAGCTGAAGATAATAATCCACCAGTCGTCGCTCATCACTAATGGCCAATACTCAGTCTGAACAACAGGCGAGGTGCGGTGAGTTGGGTGTCTCATTAGTAAGCTAATATCTAGATAGGTGTTCTTTAAAGTTGCAGAATAAGTGCTGACTTATACTGTGCTTTCTGCTAATGCAGTATTACTGCTATGTTTTATGTGTTATGTGTAACTGATTTTTTTTTATTTTTTACGCCTCTAATCAACACATATTAAACTTATGAAGAGGCTCTATTCTGCACAGACAGTATACATATGTAATGTCCAGGAGTGAAATTAAGTGGTCCACGAGGAAACTGAGCGGTCAATTCACTGAATACTTAAGCACAGAATGAGATATAATTATATATATTAAGATATACTTAGCCTGTGACATCAGGTTGCATTCAAACGCCTTCAGAAATGATTTGTTTTGCTTGAATGGTCTGAATGATGTGGTTTGAGCACTAAAAAGGATACAAACGTTCTGTATCACTCACCTTTTCCCTCACGTCGAGATAATGTGTAGTGTGAGTAAAAAACAAAAATTTGTTTCTTAATATAGCAACATCGCTCCCACTTTATGACATAGCATCCTTGCAGACTTTAGGCCCTGTTCAGCGCACAGGCTGTACATGTAAGTAAGATGTTCATCTACAGTGGCTGGGTGTACATTAGCGGCTCAATGCAGCTCAAAGGTAAGTTAACGATTTAGCTCATAACAATACAAGAGCAACTAATAGATGTAAATGCTGTTTTTTAGTGTATTTTTAATGAATGTATTAATTAATGTTAATGTCTGCTGCAAACCTCAGCAGACCCTGCACAGCTTGTGGTTGAAACTGAGAAATGTAGGCAGTACATTTCATTTATTTATTTATTTATTTGTACAGATTTTATTTTTACATATTTTTCTTTGTTCTATAATGTTATCTACCTTCGATTGTATCGACTTCCACAATGAAAGAGCTGAAAAGCTTGAGCTCATGGCTTTCTAAGATTTTCTCATAACCAACTACTAGCCAGATTGTACCCTGCTTAGCTTCTGAAACCAGAAAAGATCAGAATCTCTCAGTGCCAACTTCTAAGTGTCAACCAGTTTAAAGTATTCCACACACTTTTTTTTTTTATTATTCTCTTCATTGTTCCATAAGGCATACTCATTCTAGAAATTCTTCTGTAGTTCACATGTTGTGAATGAGTTGGAAGAGATCAAAATTTGAAAACGATTGCTGTAATATTCAGATCAGTGGGCCTCATTCACCAACCGTGATTAAGAAGAATTTTTTTCGTAGAACCCACTTACGCTTTCATGAAGATTCTGACATTCACCAATGTTTTCTTATTTGGGGTTTGTTCTTAGACAAGAACCGAATCTACACACACTCAAGACAGTTCTGCGGTTTGAGAACACATCATGAATGTGATGTGGACTTTTTCTTAAGACCTTTTTCAAGAACAAACGTAATAAAAAACCTAGGAAGATATTGGTGAATGAGGCGCATCGTTCGGACTGATTGTAGAAAAACCTGTAAACTTAACTGTGCATGGAGTGTAACTTACTTAAAATGCATTAGCAAAGATCCATTAGCTTCTCAGGCTATCGCCTTACAGATGATAATACATCATCAGAGGCTTTTTTCGCTCTGTGACTGCCTTTGTGTTTGTATGTTTATTTAACTGTGTGTGATACCATTTAAATTTAACTGATACATATCAAATAAATTAAATCTTACTGTGTACAAAGTGATTATGATTATCAGAAGAATATAAATCCGTATGCTAAAGTTGTTAAGGATTTTAATGTACTGCACAGATATTACTTTAGCTTATAGAAGTTTGCATGCTGTGAATATAATGTTAAATGCTAATGGGCAGTAGTAACAATCATTATTTTGACTCTAAATAAGACTCTTTTTTTTTTTTAAGGCCAAACCAAAAACTGACTTAACTGACTTAAACAGTAACAAACTCTGGAGAACCTTTCAGAGATTCTAAACTAAGCTACTTTATTGAAAACAGATAAACTAGAAAGCCTTTTATAATCATGAAATGCATGTAGTTTAACACAAACCCTGTAATATCATGTTTGGCTTTAGCTTTATTTGTACAGATTATTTCCAGTGATGTAGCCGAGTCAACTCAAATGTTTTTCAGGTTGTGATTTAGGATATATGAAAAGTAACTCATGTAGTTTTCCAAAAAACAGTTTATTTATTCTTGAGCAATTTCCTTTATTAGCACAGGAAATTACATTCCATTTTATGCATATGCTTTACATACAGGGTAAAACTGTGAATTTTCCCCGTAAAAGCAGGTTTTTATTTAAGTCTGGACTGGAAACACTGTTTTCTCCAGATTCCTGGTGTGTTAAGCAGAGCCACTTGGCCCTATATGCTCACTATGCATGCTGCGTAGGGCCCTGCTGGTCATGAAAGAAGAAAAAAAAACATGAAAGTATATTGTAGAAACAGCAATCGGGTAAACTTGTGTTCTCTCTTCTCCAAGTCTAATGTCAGCATATTTAAAAAAAAAAAGTGAAAAACAACTAGTATTACATTGTTATGAATGCCAACTGAAACAGTGTTAACAAACTGCAGCTTGGAAAATATAACCATGTCACTAGTAAACATGTGTTCATATGCACATGCATGAAATGAAACTTGCACTTTGCAGCAACAACCACTGTAGTGAGCAGTCCGGTGCAGATAATATATGAGTGTGATGTCACACTCCTCGTAGGTGCACATACTTTTAAATAAGACCGTGATTTTCTAGTCTCTCAGTTAAGGTTAGTTAACAACTCTGGACTAAAGCAAAATGGAAAGCAATGGATTAACATTGACTACTGATTAAATACTGCATTTAATATGCTGGTTAGCTGGGCATACTCGGCAATATGGATGCACATGTCTTAGTAAATAATAACCACCCAGGATTCAGCCAAGCCATAGTATAAATCAGGGGTGTCCAATCTTATTCGCAAAGGGTCAGTGTGGCTGCAAGTTTTCATTCCAAACAAGCAGGAGCACACCTGATTCCACTAGTATAAGCAATGGCTCAGACGTCAAACAAATGATCATGCGATGTCCTGCTTTGTTGGAATAAAAACCTGCAGCCAGAGCGGCCCTTTGTGGATAAGAGTGGACAACACTGGTACAAATGGCGGTTGGTATTTGAAAATGTATAAAAGTAATTTGTGGACGCCAGTTTGAATGTTAAAATTAATAATACTATTATATATCATTTTAAACATTGTTTATGTATTGTTCTGTGTAGGTCTACGTATTCTTAGACCAACAGATAAAGCGAAGGAGAGAGGACTGTAACTGTGGCAACTGCAAATGGTGGCAATTACATGGCTCACGGGTCAGGTAGGAGGGCCCTGTTGCACCCCCGCGGCCCCAGGGAGGTCAGGACCAGTTCTGGTGTTAGGGTTACACTCATTGCTGCCCACTTCCACCATTGCTCTCAGTGCATTTGTGTGTCTTCACAGAATTTGACTGCCTGAAACTCGTCCCACACTCTGAGCAGTGATATGGCTTCTCTCCTGTGTGAATGCGCTGGTGTCTTTGGTAAGAACTCTGTTGGGTAAAACTCTTCCCACAAGCTGAGCAGTGATAAGGCTTTTCTCCTGTGTGAATGCGCCGATGTCTTTGGAAAGAACCTTGTTGAGTAAAACTTTTCCCACACTCTGAGCAGTGATACGGCTTTTCTCCTGTGTGAATGAGCTGGTGTTGTTGAAGATTACTCTGTATAGTAAAACTCCTCCCACATTCTGAGCAGTAATATGGCTTCTCTCCTGTGTGAATGCGCTGGTGTTCCTGGAGATGACTCTGTCCAATAAAACTCTTCCCACACTCTGAGCAGTGATACGGTTTCTCTCCTGTGTGAATGCGCCAATGTTGTTGGAGAGAACTCAGTTGAGTAAAACTCTTCCCACACTCTGAGCAGCAATATGGTTTCTCTCCTGTGTGAAAGCGCTGGTGTTTTCGGAGAGTACTCTGTAGACTAAAATTCTTCCCACACTCTGAGCAGTGATACGGTTTAACTCCTGTGTGAATGCGCTGGTGGGTTTGGAGAGTACTCTGTCGATTAAACCTCTTCCCACATTCTGAGCAGCAATATGGCTTCTCTCCTGTGTGAATGCGCTGGTGTTTTAGGAGAGTACTCTTTAGAGTAAAACTGTTCCCACACTCTGAGCAGTGATGCGGCTTCTCTCCTGTGTGAATGCGCTGGTGTACTTTGAGATGACTCTGTCGATCAAAACTCTTTCCACATTCTAAGCAGTTGTGAGTTCTCTTCTTACTGTGTTTCCATGTTTGTCTGTGAGATGTGTTCATGTGGAGGGTACCAGATGACATTTGCTCAGTACAGCTTCTTCTGGAAGCCATATTCTTTATTTCATTTGTTTCAGCAGCTTAACATTCCCCTAACTCGAATGTTACAGAAGCATATGCAGGTTTATGGGGCAGTGTAGAGAAGTGGACCCTAGGGGCAGGAGAAGAACTGAAACAGGACGTTATCAAATTCTGGGGGGGACAAAAAGAAAAAAGTGAAATTTTGTCAATGTGAAATTCAACAAATAGTCTGATCAAAATCACAACTGCCCCACTTACATCATGTGGCAACAAGTGAAAGGAAAGAATAAGCTTCCATCTGATGTGGAAAAGCCTAATCAATAAATTATTCGAGCAGACATTCAGAGCATTGAAGTGGTGTAGTCATTCTGTCGTTGATGGCACGCCAATATTAGAAACTCTAAGATGGATTTCTCTATGGCAAAAATGAATAGGATTTTCAATAATATACAGAGCAAAATTGTTCCAAACTTGATATGCTTTATCCTATGTATATTTTTACACTGAATGTCACTGGATTCTCTGCTGAAATTATAATTTTGCAACATGCGTTTCTTTTTTGTAAGGTCTTAACACTTCAAGTCAGGTATAGACAATTCCAGAGCATAGTCAATTATGGAGTCCTTCAAATCTCTTATGGTGCTTACACTTCACAGCCACAGGCTCATCTAAAGAGCTGACTGAGGATCTGAAACTAAAGATAACAGACTCTTACAAAGCAAGAGAAGATCTATAACCTTTTTTATATATCTATAAAAAGATATATGAATACTTCCTGCTTATGATTTTTAACTGTCTCAAATAGCATTCAGAAACAAAAGTTACTAAAAATCAAGGAAAGATCTGGAAGACCAAGAAATATCCCTTAAACAACTGCTTGTAGACTGGTTAGGTATGCAAAGCAAAACCCCCACATTACTGCTAAAGACCTGCAGATTTGCCTTGCACAGGAACGATAGTGCACTGGCCTACTGTGCAGTGTCGTTGCACAAATAAACTCTTTGGCTACAATCATCAATGAACTGAGAGTGTGCACAAACTTTTGAATATTTTATTTTTTAATATATTTAATCTTGGATTTAAACTTTCATATTTAAGGTTGTAATTATTGTAATTTCATAATCATTCTAAAAATGACATACATATTGTGTTGATTTGTATTTCTCTCTGTTTCTTTAGTCAAATATGAATGTTTATTCATAAGGGTTGGGGTATTACAACCCCAAAGGCCATTCACCGCTACCCAAAACCCCCCCCACACACACACACACACACACACACCCACTCCCCACCCCGTGTTGCTGCTGATTTGTTTACGTTTTCTCTTTATTGAGTAGAGGTCTGTAATTAGTTACACGGGGGATTTTGTACATTTAATAATTTAGTGTCAAGTGTTACTTTTTTAAACAAGCAGTTCCTTGATCAGCCAATATCGTCATCTTTGGAGTTGCTAGGAAATTAAATGTCAAAGTTACTTAAGCTACATTGCTTATCTATCTGATGTTAGTTAGCCAACTATAAATACAGTGAACGAAACAAGTATTTAAACACTTGTGCTTTTGTCATTTAATAAACTTTCAATGTATGTAGCCACTTAAAGTGTACGCAAGTAATAGTAATGTCTTTTGATCTTATAAATATGCAAAAAATGATGTATTCATTAGGATAAACTCCTAAAACTAAATGAACTTTAACTTAACTCCAGCTTGCTGTTACTAGTCTCACAAAATCTTGGTTTTGTTCATATTAGACACATCATAGCTCGTGTGATAGAAACCATATTGAGGATGGATGACAATAGATTGATATAGATTGTATAGATAGATATAAAAATTGTCATATTACAATCCACAAAACAGCACGTTGTTTATGGTACTCAGGCTCCATTTACTCCTGATCACTCACTGCTCACACCCCGTTACACCTTTTCGACCAAGGACTGCCATCTCCTGCTGGGGGAGGGTCTCTGGTAATTCATATTTTTCTAGAACAAACTACAATTTTCTTATCACATATGCACATTTAACTATACAGTTATACCCACCTTGAATAAGATCAGCATATTTCAGCCAATATTTCTGCATGTATTACAACTACATGTCTAATATTGAATCACCTCTTTTTGCTTTGTTTTTATAAGTGAATGGTTAATAAGATCTGCTTTTTGTGTTCACAAACTGACAACGAAGCAGATAAAGTTAACATGACTTATCTCTACAGCTTTCCTGACAATGTTTACACCAAAAGGTGTGTTATCAACAATGAAAAGGCTGACTTTATAACATTAGCACACAAAAGAAGAGAAGCATATGGGCCAAGCAGAGAATCACAGTCTTGATCTAAAGGACATGTGATTAATGTCTTTGGTGTGTTTGGAACTAACTTGGCAAATAAATCAGAAACAAACTGCTCTAAATTTGCCAAACTCAACTAGGAAGACATTACCAACCAAATATTCTGGCCCAGCAGCTCACAGTACTCAGCTCTGGTTATATTAAACCTTATTTTCAGACTCAAATGTGTCTCCAGCTGTTTGTCTCAGAGTGAATGAAGAACAGTGAGTGTTAAAGTGTCGGACAGCTTCTACCTTCAACAGTTCAGCTCTGGTTTCTGCTCCTCCATCAACACTGTATGAGCGCGGAGGCGTGGACTGCTGACCACAACACAACCTTCTGCTTCTCCGCTTTAGTGCAGTTGGAGAAAGTTGTAGTTACAGAATCAGCGCCACCACCTGGCCTGAAGCGGCTTCACACTGGAACCACGCGGTCACAGAAAAAAGGAACGGTCGTTATTTAAAATCCCACCCGTATTCAGAGCCAGTTTAAGAGGAGTCTGGTTACGTTCTATTTCTCCCGTTCTATCAAACATATGACTGCTAAACGCCTGAGGGGGCCCGCCGAGCGAGTCCTCAGTGAATGGGGGGAGTTATTTAATAATAAAGGTTTATAATTTTACCACGGTATGGAATGCCATTGACACCCATGGAATTATGTTGTTTTGCATGCAACCCCCATTGGGGTAATAATAATGAATAAAAGCGAAAAAAAAAAACACTGATAGAAACCATTAAAAAATTCCGTTGGTTCCAGGTAGGGTCAAATAGTCACTAATGGTATTCTGTGTTTTCTTAATGGGTTGAAATCACCGTAAAGGATTTTAATGGTTAAACAGGTGTTCTGGGACCAATTCCAGATGTATTTGATGATTTCCTAATGGGATCTAAAGGTGTTCTGGTAACCATTTAAGCCAATTCCCATTAGGAAGCAAAATATCCTAATGGTTCTAATGAACTTTTTTTCAGTAGGGTAGGTCAACTTAATTGCTTTCATCAGGACATTCCTGCTGGATAAATATATATAGTAACCATTAAAAGTTTCTGCTGGTTTCTGGTAGTGTCCAATAGTCACTAATAGTATTTTGTGTTTCCTGATGGCTTGATATCACAGTGTAAAGCATTCTAATGGTTTAACAGATGTCCTGATATCAGATACATTTATTGGCTTCCTAATGGGATCTAGGGTGTCCTAATGGTAACCACTAAGCCAATTCCCATTATAAAGCAAGTTTTAATCCGAATGGATCTAATTGTCTTGTTTCCCAGTTGGTCAAATATGCATTAGAACATAAAACATCTCCCCATCTTTAATTCAGAAAGACTCAGCCTCTCATGCAGGGGTGATGCCGCACCTCCAAAAGTGGTGGGGCAAAACATATTGTTTCAAAAAAAACAGCTCGCTGAGTGTTGAGTGACGCAATGCAATTAGGCCACTGACTAAAACTGCTGATGGTTACTGATGCTTGGCCAAAAATTTGCTCCACAATCCATAATCAAATGCATATGATTATTTTATTGCTTGTCTTCTGTTATTTACAGCAGCTCACAGTGCAGGAAGGAGCACTTGCGTCCCTGCAAAACTTTATCAATAAATAATTACTCACATGTGTGAGAGTTTGTAAAGAGTGAAATGTTAAAGCAGCAGATAGTGCAGACAGTACAGAGAAAATGTGCAGTGGGAAAAAAAACGTGCTCTGGTGTTGAATTCCCTCATGAATTAGCGCGAGTTGAAATACACTCCCCCCCAAAATGCTCTCACGTTGAGGTTTCCATGTCTTGCACAGCATCATCCTCCTATTTCATGGGGAAACTAGTATTGAAATTAGTAAATGGAGAGAGAATTACTTTAACACTTGTATTAGTCTTCCAGTGCAGGCCATATATGTCAAAAGCCCAGATACCCAATTAATGTGTAGTGTGGGTAAAAAACATGTCCCTTAATATAGCAACATCACACATATGCCTCTCCTTCTTCATGACATGGCATCTTTGAATGAATGTGCACGATGAGTTACAAGAGACACCAGAGTCACTCACAAAAAATATTGCTATAATATTCATTATACAATATATATTATAATATTCATTACTTACTGTGCCTGGAGTGTAACATGCTTAAAAATGCATTAACAAAGATCCATTATCATCCTTCCAGACGACACTTCATCATCAGAGACTTTTATTCTGTCAGTTTATCACAGAAAACAGCCTGACATTGATCTCTCTCTCTGACTGCCTTTGGGTTTGGATGTGTATTTAATTGTTTAAACTGTCAAATATGAAAAAGTAAATCTTATTGCATAAGAAGTAATCATTAATACCAGAGAAATATAAATTAGTAAAGAACATCAAAATTGTTGCTGTTAATGATTTTAATGTTGACATGTACTACACAGATATCAGTTACTTTTGCAGTTTGCACGCCGTGAATATAATGTTTACTGCGACTGGGCAGTAGGGCTATCCCAATTACATTATTAGTTCAGTTATCTAATTATTTTGACTCTCAATAGAGTTTTTTTTTAACGCTAAACAAAAAACACACTTAAACAGTAACAAACTCCGCAGAGCCTTTCAGATTCTAAACTACTTTATTGGAAACTAGATAAACTAAAAAGCCTTTTATAATCATCTAATCATAAAATTAATCTAGTGTAACACAAATCTTCTGCTTTACACAGCACAAAGAAAGATGTGCGAATGTGCACTACAAAACATACCATGATCAGTGTCTGTGTTTTTTCCTCCAATAATATGTCTGGCTTTAGCTTTATTTGTACAGATTATTTCCAGTGATGTAGCCGAGTCAACCTAGAAGTATTTTAAAGTTGTGTTTTTGGATATACAAAGCAGTAACTCAATTACTCAAGTGGTTTTCCAGTAAACAACTCCTGTACTCTTACTTGAGTAATTTGCTTTAATAGTTTTACTTGTACTCAAGTAAATTATCACTACAGTAACAGTAATTTACTTACTTAACCAAACTTAGCTTACCTTTTATCTTGACCAAACTATTATAAACCAAGAGCTTGCTTGTTATGACCAGTCAGAACCACATGTGTAAACATCTCCCAACATGAAACAATACCACAAGGGCTGCATCCAGAAACTTTTGTTCCTGTCCTTCCCATCGCTTCCTATCGCTTCTCTCATACCCCGGAAGAGTTTGAAAGAATGAAGAAGGAATGGAGAGAATGAACAGAAACTGGGAAAATAGAAAGCTGATCCCTATCAACATTATTAAAATCTGATGTTGTCTAAAGCTCAGTGCATCAAATCACAACATTAGCTTGAAAGCACACCCCTAATACTCCTGCATCCAATCATAGCTGGTACACAGAGCCAGCCAGTAGACAATTGTGTGGTTTTATACTGCTACAAGTATGAAATACACAACACAGAATATAGAAACACAAACAAAACAAAGAATTTAAAGTATAATTGGATTGCTGTCCTCCGTCTGATTATCTGTCCTCTTTGACCGTGCATGCAGCCATGTCATTTGCCAATCTGTAAAAGACTTGCTGGGTATCCTCCAATGCAAGCTGCTTGGGCAGGTGTTTGGAGCAGTCTAGCTCTAGTATTTGGACAGCCAGTAAGAGGGCATCACAAAATCGATTTTCAGGTCAAAGAGGAATGGAGATTGGTACAAAAACAGTAGCTTTCAGGGTTTCTGGATCTAACCTATGTCTCACAAAAAGTAGATGCTGTCCATTCGGAGTGGGGGTACAGCAGATCCTCCCAAGGCAGAGTAGAAACGTTATAGAATTCACAGATCAGCTTTTTTCTGCCCTACACCAGGTTAACTGGCAAGGTTTTAGGGACACCATGTTCTTTGTGAACATTAACAATGCTTGTGGTGGAGAGGGTGAGAGAGAGACACTTCAGCACAGGAAATTACATTTAATTTTATGCACTGTGTTTAGACACAGGGTAAAACAACAAAACGTGGTTTTCCCCCTTTAAAAGCAGATTTTTAAAAATCTGTGATGGAAGCACGGTTTCCTTGAGACTCCTGGCATTTTAAGCAAAGCTATATATATATATATATATATATATATGATTTTGTTCTGTATAGGTCTGCTTATTCTTATACTGACAGATGAAGCAAACTGTTTTAAAGAAGAATTTTAGTGGGAGCACAGGGGTATCAGGTTTGACTGCGTGGCAATTGCAAGTGGCTTACATGGCTCACAGGTCAGGAAGAAGGGACCCTTTGCGTAATTTTGCATAGGGCCCCAGGAAGGCCAGTTCTGGTGTTAAGATTACCCTCATTACTGCCCATTTCCACCACTGCTGTTAGTGCATTTGTGTGTCTTCACAGAACCTGAATGCCTAAAGCTCTGCCCACACTCTAAGCAGTAATATGGTTTCTCTCCTGTGTGAATGCGCAAATGTTGTTGGAGATTACTCTGTATAGTAAAACTCTTCCCACACTGTAGGCAGTGATATGGCTTCTCTCCTGTGTGAATCCGCTGGTGTCGTTGGAAAGAACTCTGCATGGTAAAACTCTTCCAACACTCTGAGCAGTGATATGGCTTTTCTCCTGTGTGAATGCGCTGGTGTCTTAGGAAAGAACCCTGTTGAGTAAAACCCTTTCCACACTCTGTGCAGTGATATGGCTTCTCTCCTGTGTGGATGAGCTGGTGTTGTTGGAGATTACTATGTACAGTAAAACTCTTCCCACATACTGAGCAGCAATATGGTTTAACTCCTGTGTGAATGCGCTGGTGTGTTTGGAGATGACTCTGTACAGTAAAACTCCTCCCACACTCTGAGCAGTGATACGGCTTCTCTCCTGTGTGAATGCGCTGGTGTTGTAGGAGATTACTCTGTTGAGTAAAACTCTTCCCACACTCTGAACAGCAGTACGGCTTCTCTCCTGTGTGAAAGCGCTGGTGTTTTCGGAGAGTACTCCGTAGACTAAAATTCTTCCCACACTCTGAGCAGTGATACGGTTTAACTCCTGTATGAATGCGCTGGTGGGTTTGGAGAGTACTCTGTCGATTAAACCTCTTCCCACATTCTGAGCAGTGATACGGCTTTTCTCCTGTGTGAATGACCTGGTGTTTTTGGAGAGTACACTTTTGAGTGAAACTTTTCCCACACTCTGAGCAGTGATACGGCTTCTCTCCTGTGTGAATACGCTGGTGTATGTTCAGATGACTCTGTCGATCAAAACTCTTTCCACACTCCAAGCAGTAGTGAGTTCTCTTCAAGCTATGTTTCTGTGTTTGTCTGTGAGATGTGTTCATGTGGAGGGTATCAGATGACATTTGCTCAATACAGCTTCTTCTGGAAGCCATATTCCTTTATTCAGTCCGTTTCAGCAGCTTAACAGTCCCCTAACTGGAATGTTCTGATACATTTATGGAAGCATATGTAGGTTTATGGAGTAGTGTAGGGAGGTGGACGCTGGAGGAAAAGAACTTAAACAGGACGTCATTCAATTCTGTAAAAAGAAAAGAAAAAAGAATATTTTAAGTAAATGTGAAATTCAACAAATGTAGTATCTAAATAATGAATGCCCCACTTACATCAATGTTAAAAAGTGAAAAGAAAGAATAAAATTTACATCTGATGTAGAAAAGCCAATCACTTAATCACTCAAACTATTCAAACAGACATTCAGAGCACTCAAGGCGTGTAGTCATTCTGTATTTGGTGTCATGCCAATATTACAAATTCTGTGCTGGATTTTTCTATGGCAAAAATGAATGGGATTTTCAAAAATCAAATGGTTCAAAACTTGATGTGTTATCCTATGCATATATTTTTTTTTACACTGAATGTCACTGGGTCCTCTGCAAAAATCTTAGTTTTCAACATGCATTTAGTTTGTGTAAGGTCTTAGCATTTTAAGTCAGACATATTCCAAAGCATAGTAAATTACGTGATCCTTTAAACTCCTTAGGGTGCTTACATTTCACAGCCATAGGCTCATCTAAGCAGCTGACTGAGGATCTGAAGATAAGATAACTAAAGATAATTGACTCTTACAAAGCAAGAGGAGACTAAAAAATATATATGAACATTTCTTGCTTATGATTTTCACTGTCTGAAATGGCATTAATAAACAAACACTAAGGACAACTATTGAAGTCAAGGAAAGATCTAGAAGAGATATCTCTGAAAATACTGCTTGTAGACTGGTCAGGTATGCAAAGCAAAACCCCCTGCATTACTGCCAAAGACCAGGAGGAAGTTTTTGGCTGGCATGAAAACAGTGGTGCACTGGCCGATTGTGCAGTGTTGTTGCACAAACATTATCCAAGTGCCTAAACAATGATCTCATCACAAATGTCAACAAGTGAAGTATGCAATACAACACTCAGATAAAATAAAGGCATTGTGGAATCAAGTGCTGTGGTATAACAAAACAAAAAAATCTTTAGCTACAATCACAGACTAACTGAACTAACTTTGGGGACTGAGTGTGTCCCCAAACTTTTTAATATATTGAATTTAGCAAATAAACAGTAATCTTGCATTTAAACTTGTAGAAATATTCATATTTAAGACTATATTTATTGTTTATTATTGTAATTTGACCAGGGATGCCTAAATAGTCAATACAACTGTAGAATAATCAATCTAAAAGTGACATGCATATTGCGTTTTGTATTTCTCGCTGTCTTCTGTGTTATATATGAATGTTTATTCTTAAGAGTGCTGGTGTTACGAACCCAAAGGCCTAGAATCCCTTCTGTGTGTTGCTGCTGTTTTATGCACGTTTCCTCTTTTTTTGAGTAGACTGCAGTACCTGAAGGTAATTGGCTGCACAGGGGATGTCCTTTCACAATAAATCTTGGCCTCAGAATTATGATTATATCTGACATTTTCTTTGTCAAAAATGACTGTGTCATCGTGCAGGGTGCCCCACTTTGGAAAAGCATAAAGAGAACGGCGAGTTTCACCACCATATTCAAGAGGTAAAACTTTATGAGTTACGTAAAACTCAGCTTGGATATCCGTAACCCAGTTTGATTTGGTTTTGGAAATGTAGTTCTACATGTGACGCAGCACAAAACAAATGGGTGAAAGGTCTTCAAGTATGAATAAATATACTTGGTTTCTTAGAGAATGGGCAAACAGTGACATTAAGATGTTTTAGGGCATGTTTCAAACAGAGAGAAGACTCTCAAGAATCTCCCAAAAATCAGAGCAGCATCACTCTCCCATTCACTCACATAACCCATTCAAACGCACAACAAAAACGATGTACCCACAACCACACACTTCCTTCAAATTCACAGCAGTGTATACAGAAGTCGCCACTGTAACAGGTGGACATAGCAGAGCCTAACAACACAATTTCTGAGTTGATTCTGAAGCTCAGCGTATGAATGAAAAACTAATTTACCTTCTATTTTAGCTAACTATGATGACCCGAGATAAGCATTTTGTAATTTTGCCAAGCGAGCTCTCTTTCCAGAAGCTAAAGCAGTGTGAGCTCAGTTTTTACAAACAGCCAAACTCAGCTCGTGTTTTCTGTTTCTGCCGAGTGTCCATGGAAAAAGTTCTAGTTTGCATTTGATGCTGTTAAAAAGTCCAAACTTTAAATCCTTCTGGTGATGTATGAACTTCTATTGTCAGTTACTGCGTAACCGTGAGCGTCTTTGTAACTGCAGACAGATTCTTTGTATGTACAAATACACTTGGTTAATAAAGCCTGATTCTTATTCTGATTAACCTGTTGTCTGAGGTGTTGATTTGGAATATATGTAGAGGCATCAAATCTGGCATTAATATCAAAATAATTAATAAACTATCATTATTGGTATTTATCCGACATTAATTAACATAAAAACACACACACACACAGCTTTATGCACTTTCCCATTAGCAAAACTTTGTCCAATTCTCTGCTGAAAATCAATTCCTGAATTTAAAACTCTTATAAATCACCTGCAAGTCCATATAAATCCATTTTTATTTAGCTTTTAAGACTTTTTAGCTAGCACAAGTTGTACCAATACACCTCTTAGTCCCTTCTGAGCAATTTTTCATTTACAGTCTTTCGTGGAAATCATTTGTTTGCATCCAATCACATTAAAGTGGGTGGAGTGGGGAGAGGGCTATTTTGTTGGAGATTATTGTGACTGGTGTTCAAAAATGTTCTACTAAAGAACTTTAGTAACAAAACTGTATAGTACATAATTAGAACTCTGCAGGACCAAGACATTTTCGACACACAAAATATTGAAAATCAAACTGAATCTTGACCTTACAAGTGACAGTTGAAACAATCCTGAAAATATGTGTATATTTAGATCCCTAGTGTGCATGGTGCAAACATTATCATATTAACACATGAATATGAGGCACATATTCAGACACTCATTTTGCTGCAGATTCTAAAATGTAATGGCTGTGCAAAATGATCATGGTCAGTTTGAATGGTAACAGTCAGCACAAGTAATCACAGTTATGTAATAACTAGGAGAGGTCTAGGCTTGACACTAATTTTCTGATGAATAAAAGACATTCCTATACATTACATTCCTAAATCAAATATCCACTACATTAAAAAAAACTAAGATAGCCTGACACAGCTATATAAAGCCTATTATTCTTTTAATGCTTAAGTGTGAACAATTATTCAGTTTTTCCATTCAAATCCCAACCCTGTGCTGTTGTCATCTAAATGGCCCTATTGACTACTTTAAATGCATCTTTTTAACTCAACCAACAAAATTGACACCAATTAATTTGTATTTAAATCACTGAGATACTGTTTACTGTTTAGACCACAAAGATCCGCAGGAAGAATTACTTCATCATGAATATGACTACCTGCCCCATTATACTCTATTCACACTCATACTGTCTGGAGAGAAAGTGAAAGATCAAAGACCACCAGTTTTCAGGAAAGGGTCTATAACTTGACAAGACGATCTCAGCCCCAGTCCTGGAATTTATGTTTTCTTTTACCTAGGATACAGCTGATGATTTGAACACATGCTGGATGTGGAGCGTGTTGTTTGCGGAACTGGGATTGGAAACATTTGGCCTAGACCACCAAGCTCCTGAACAGCTCTCACACACTACACCCCCTTTAAGTAGACTTCAAACACCCACCTTAGACACTCCTACCAGCTCTTAATCTACAAACCATTGACCAGCAACACCCACCCAGATATTAACAGCCCACTACCAGGGATTCTCTAATATAAGGGGAAATGGCAATCCTCTGGAAACAATGGAACTGCTTTCAGTAAAATGGATTTAAAATGAATAAGCCCAAGTTAAATCTTCGAGATTCAGGCTTGTTTAGATAATCAATGTAGTATTTATGATGGGCTAAATTTGGAGAAACAACACACAGCATACCAAGAACCAGTCATTTGTTACATACTTTTCTACAGCGTTTAATCTTTTGTTGTTTGGAGGTGTTTTTTCATATTAGACACACCGTAGCTTATTAAAAAACAAACGTGTGATAGAAAACATACTGTGGATGAACAAAAGGACAGATGAATTGTTATATTACAATGTCCCACAAAACAGCATTGTGTTCAGGGTACTCATTTGCTCCGTTTACTCCCATTCACTTACTTAGAGCCTCTGGTCTGCCTGGTCACACCCCGTTACACCTTTTAGACCAAGGACTGGCGTCACCCTCTGGGGGATGGGTCTCTGGTAATTCCTATTGTTCTAGAACAAACTACTATTTTCTCATCACAACTGTACATATATAACTACACAATTATACCCACCCTAGACGACATTGGCATCAGTCAATATTTTTTGCATTTATTGGAGCTACATGTCTAATATGGAATGACCTCGCCTTTGCACAATGTTTTTATAAGTGAATGGTTGATAAGATCTGCTTTTGTGTTCACAAACTGACTATGGAACAGATAAAGTCATACAGGACAAAAGAACAGAAGCACATGGGCCCAGCAGAGAATCACAGTCTTGATCTAAAGGACATGTGATTAATGTCTTTGGTGTCTTTGGAACTAACTTGGCAAATAAATCAGAAACAAGCTGCTCTACGTTTCCAAACTCAACTAGGAAAACATTACCAACCAAATAATCTCGCACAACAGCTCACATACCTGCTGAAAAAGTGGCTTATTGATTTCCAATAGACCAACAGTTTCCCATAAAACACCTTCACATCCATTTAGGACACCATCAAATGCACTTAGAAATCAGCCATTGGTCACCTGTTAAACCGTTAGGATCCTTTACATTGTGATATCAACCCATTAAAAAGCCAGAGCACATTACAATACCACCAAAAACCAACAGAAACGCTTAATGGTTTCTGTGGGGGTTTTTTTTCAGCAGGGATTCCTCAGCCAAGTTTGAATGGAGCTGCTTCTGTATCTATTTTAAACCATCACATCTTATCTTCAGACTCAAATGTGTCTCCAGCTGTTTGTCTCAGAGTGAATGAAGAACAGTGAGTGTTAAAGTGTCGGACAGCTTCCTACCTTCAACAGTTCAGCTCTTGTTTCTGCTCCTCCATTAACACTGTATGAGCGCGGAGGCATGGACTGCTGACCACAACACAACCTTCTGCTTCTCCACGTTCTTCTTCTTCTTCAGGGTTGTTTTGGCGGTTGGCAAGCCTGTTATGCGGTGCATTAGCGCCACTTACTGGCCTGGAGCATGTAGCACCAATATCAGGATTTAACTTTCTAACTGTGAATATGTGGTTACTGATACAAAGCTGTGACGGAATGGGATAATGATCTGTTAGTAATAATAATAATAATCTACATTTTATCAAACAACCCTGTTATTTTCAGAACACTTATCAAGCACATTCTTTTGTTTTGTAACCTCTTATTCGTTCATGTTTCTTTTACCCCATAATCACAGAAAACCACTTTCCTTTCGTTTTCATCCGTTTTGCAATGCATTTGGACATGCTGTACAGCCTCGGGGTGCTCACTCTATGTATAGTGACCAGTTAAATGTTGTCCAATTCTGAATAATGACTGATTTAGCTCACTGTCCGATACGGAGCCTAGCAACTACAGCCTGAATGGGAAAAGCCCGAAATAAATACATAAATAAAAACACCCAAATATCGCAAAAAGAATTTTACGCTAGTACGAAGTGTAAATATTAGAACATCACAAAAGTGCTAATGTGAAAAAGGGTTTTCCGAGTACACGATGACGTATAAAACCGTAAGTCACATGATTCCGTGACTCCTACAGATGGTCCGATCGTGGTGCCTAGCTTTTCCAAAGTTGCTTTTGATATTCTCAAATGCTTCATTCAAAGCTTCTTTGAGAAATTCTTCTGCCTAATGTGCTCCCAAAATTGTCTGGTGTGTTTGTGTTTCCAGAGTGGCATGAAGATTTCAGCCCTCACTGCAAGAGCTTAAAGAATGATGTCATGATTCATATTGAATCAAATGAAAGGAGAGCGTATCTTAACCAACTCCAGAGGAATGTCAAACAGCTATATGATTGATAAAATCAGCGTTATTGACGGTCTGGGTCTACACAAACCTCCAAACAACGAATGGAGTAATGATATGGACATGCTACTCTTCTTTCACTCATGGACTTCTTCATATCTGGTGTGGGGCTTAAGTGCCTGTTCTTTTAAGTAGGTCTTACGTTTAAGTCACTCGAAGCCCATGTAAAGTTTACAAATGGTTATTTTACTCAGCCAACAGCACATCTACCTTGGTTAATGTCGTATTTCCCTCAGCCATCAGCAGATTTACCTCAGTTACTGCCATATTTTACTTAGCAACTGCAGCTTTACTTTGAATAGTTCAGATAGCCCTCCTGTGTGTGACTGGACCATTGTTATTGTATGTTTTTCCATTATTAATTTTGTGTTTGGGATTTGTTTTTTTGGCAACTGATGTGCGGTTCACGTGCGTACCGAACCGTGAGGGGTGATCCGTCCGGATCACGGATTATCTGTGGCCCGTTACACCACTAATAAGTTTGTTTGAAGTCATATTTTGCATTCAATGCTGATGCTCCCTCTGCCGGCCAGAGAAAATATTACCATTACTGATTATGTGGCCAACCTGGGTTTAAGTCAAGTTTCCACATTTCCTGTGCAATTGCGGAACATACATACAATTGCAATGTTTTAGATGTTAATGAGATGCGTAATTTGAAACCGTTATCTTTTCTTTATTTTAATCATAGAAAGATATAATGACATTTTAATAATTATGCACTAGATTAAGTATTGTAGGGGCTTATGACAATCAATTTAAATGAAACTTTGCTTGTGTCCTCAGAAAATGGTAATGTACATTTTTACCAAGATTTATCACAATCACATAAAAACCAAATAATCTATAGCCTCCCTAAGTCAGAAAAAGCCAGGCCAAACAGATTCATTGATGTCTCATGGCCATTGTTTGCAATAGTGTCAAGGTTTTTTTGATACTTATTTATCTGAAGACTAAGATTAACATTGAAACAATTGTCTGAATATCCACAGACAAGTTCAAAAGCTAATTTTTCAAACACTGATCAAAGAAAAACTTCACAAAATTTTAAAAGACTTGTATTGGATAAAATGTCATTCTCAGTGTAAGCAATGATAAGAATTGATTTATTTTGATCTATGATAAAATTTATAAGACTGATTCTTGTTTATGCTCTATGAGGTCCACTTTGCAGAAATGTGACCTACATTTCATAGTGAATTATCTAAGTGCCAAATATGAGTGTTACACCAACCGTAAGCTTCTTTTTTTAAACATGATCATGGCTCCTTTTTACCCCTCCATAACTGTTATGCACCTTTTTTTTATTTGTTCCTTTCTCAACCCTCCTTCCATAAACTGCTGTTCCATAAACTGATTTGACTCCTACCCTGTTAGATTTATTTAAATAATCATTTAACTATTTATTTATATGTTTATTTTCAGCTGAAAATACATGTTGAAACCTACACTAAATCAAGTGATTTTTTCAAATTGATTTAAGAGGAAGAAAAATCCTAGCAAAAGCAATATGGTTCTTGAACCTGTGGGTGCTTGAACCCCTAATTAAAAGAATGCAGATAAACATGTTCACATAAGCACACATAACCTTACACACAAAGGCTTAACTAAGGCAAAAAAAGAAACTACTATTGTGTCTCAATTACAAAGCTGTTCATTTCTGCCCAGCACAGCAAAAACTTCCCTGTTACAGTAATCAAGGTCATAGCTCATTCATATCAGTCTTCAACAAGAACACTCCAAAAATACAGGAAACAGAAAACATCTTCTAAAAGGTTAAAAGGGAAGACAAATTTTCTGAGGTTGCAGTCCTACATTTTTTTTTCCATTTTAAGCTCCTGTGTTAGAAACAACTTAAAACAGTTATTTCAATTTTGGGAATCTGGGCTGGAAGCACCATTCCCTCCAGATTTTGCTCGCGGAATGTGTTAGGATTACCCTCATTACTGCTTATTTCGATGAATGCTCTGTGTGTGCATTTGTGTGTTGTCACAGTCTTTGAATGCCTGAAACTCCTCCCACAGTCTGAGCAGTAATACGGCTTTTCTCCTGTGTGAATGCGCTGGTGTTCTTGGAGATGACTCTGCTGAGTAAAACTCTTCCCGCACTCTGAGCAGTGATATGGCTTCTCTCCTGTGTGAATGCGCTGGTGTCGATCGAGAGAACTTTGTCGAGTAAAACTCTTCCCACACTCTGAACAGTAATATGGTTTCACTCCTGCGTGAATGCGCTGGTGTTCTTGCAGAGTACTCTGTCGATTAAAACTCTTCCCGCACTCTGAACAGTAATACGGCTTCTCTCCTGTGTGAATACGCTGGTGTTGTTGGAGATGACTCTGTAGCGTAAAACTCTTCCTACACTCTGAGCAGTGATACGGCTTCTTTCCTGTGTGAATGAGCTGGTGTTGTTGCAGATGACCCTGCTGAGTAAAACTCTTCCCACACTCTGAACAGTAATACGGCTTTTCTCTTGTGTGAATGCGTTGGTGTTGTTGGAGATGACTCTGTACAGCGAAACTCTTCCCACACTCTGAGCAGTGATACGGCTTCTCTCCTGTATGAATGCGCTGGTGTTGCTGGAGATGACTCTGACGATTAAATCTCTTTCCACACTCTAAGCAGTCGTGAGTTCTATCCTTGCTACTTTTCTGTGTTTGTCTGTGAGATTTGTTCACGTGGAGGATACCAGATGGGGTTTGCTGAGAACTGGAACATCGTCTGGATGCCATATTCTTACATTTGGTCTCTCATAGTTTCAGCAGCTTAACAATACAGTCATTATAATGGAGGGATCTTTGCGCACTGTGGGAAAGCGGACTGTAGGAGCAGGACTTGAAACAGAATGTCGATCATTCCTGGAAGAAGAAGAAAAAAATCAAACTAAATGTGAAACGCAGCAATAGTAGTCTGCTCCAAATCATTAATGGCCTATTTATATAAACCGGCAAAAAGTGTAAAAGAATAAACTTCAATCTGATGTGGAAATCCAATCACCTAACTTCTTTTCAAACTCTTCAAATTGACACATACACCACTGAAGTCATGCCAACATTCTGTAGTTGGCATCATGCCCACATTAGTAACTATGGGTCTAAACAGGATTTCTCTATAATAAAAATGAACGGGATTTCTGAAAATTGCACTCAAAATGGTTCCAAACTCAATACATTTTATCTGATGCACATGTTCCCCATAAATGTCACTAGATCCTCTGGTTTGCCAAATATTTTTTGGAGCCAAAATATGAAATTTGCTATGTGCAATTTTTTGTAAGATCTCAGAGCTAAACTGACACATAAGGCCTTAAAACAAGTAGCTATACACAATCCCACAAGATCATTTGTGTGATCCTCTTGGGGTGCTTACACTTCATAGCCAAGGAAGTAGCTTAAAACCAAAGAAAATTTGTTCTTACAAAGAAAGAGACGACTTTCAAAAACATCTGAACACTTTCTGCCTGTAGTTTTTACAGTTTGCAATGGTATTAAGAAATAAAAGTTAAGGACATCTGGAGAACCAAGAAAAATCTCTGAAAAAAAAACTTGTAGACTGGTTAGGTAGGCAAAGCAAAACCCCTGCATCACTGCCAAAGGCCTTCAGGATGATTTGGCTGGCACAGGAACAGTGATGAACTGGGCTACTGTGCAGCACTGTTGCACAAATATCATCTACATTGAAAGATCAGCAGAAGGTAACCTTAACTGTGACCTTATCACAAATGTCAACATGTTAAGTTTACAAACAACTCTTAATTTTGAGGTGAGAGAAAGGAGAAAAGGAGATGGTGAACTAACTAGCAACCTACCAGTGAGCCATCATTTCACCCACAAACAGGCTCTGCAGTACTTCTTAGGAAACAAAGGAAAATCTGATGTGCGGATAAGCAGTGCCATATTTGTAAAAAAAAAAAAAAAGACTTTATTATGTTTAGCGTGGCAGACATGTACATGAAAAAATATATCTGCCCAAAATTCCCATATAGGTGCATCCCTACAATTAAAGTCTACACATACATTTTGACTGGTCAACACAAACATGGAATTTCAAATATTATATTTAGCTAAAGCACTTTTATTTATTGATTTTGTTGATTGTCAATTGAAAGCACATCTGAACAGTCATTTTGGGTTTGCCATGTAAGAAGCTGTTGAGCCTATCATACAGCTGCCACTATATGATATCTAATGAATAAAACATCTAACCTATAACTTTGTGTTAGTTCCTTAAGTTAAGGATAGCGAGTCCAATACCATCACGAATCACCATCAGATCGTTAAAAACTAATTAGCTAGCTGTGCAACATTAGGAACCTTGGATCGACTAGGGCTGCTGTGGAAAAAAGCGTTTTTTTTCTTGTCACAAAAGCACTTCTGTACAGCTGCAAGTGAAGTACGTTTCATAGTTTTGATGCTACTCATTGGTCTCTTTCCACAGCAGTCTCTGTAGCACAGCAACAGCAGAAATCACAGGCTGACTCAACCGAGGAGCTCATGTGTGAGTTTTTTGAAGGACTCTGTTTGGCTGGTTGAGCTGTAGTTGAATGTCCTCTAAATCTAGACATACACTGCCACATACAATTTTAGAAATTTTGTCCTTTACTCAGTCACACTAAATTTGAATAGACCATGGCATATGGACAAAGCCTGTGATTTATATACTCGTGCTGTACAACAAAAACGCTCCGTCCATGCTGCATGAAACTCAGGCCTTACAGATGTGAACGACTTTAAATTAAGCGGTTTCATTCAAAATGCAGTTTGGGGAGGTTTCATCTGCTTCTATGCATCCATTCTGACATGTTTTCACACTGAAAATCCGGACCAAGGTGCGAACCAAAGTTCATGTTTTTGTTATAGTACATACATTAGATGTGGTTAGTTTTGGTTTCACATTCCAATTTAGAAAGCTAACTAAAGAACGAAGCATGACACACCTACGACCTGTCGCCATCACCTGCGTGGGCTGCATCTCCCTATACTTGATTGGTTTGTAGAGCAGCGTGCGTCTGACGTCAGCGCGTTGTAACGTTTCTCATTTGGATGGAGAAAAATGAATATCCTCTCTCTTCTCCTCAGAAAATAAGCTAGAAGTTATTCCTTTCTTTTCCTTTCCAAATTACAATTAAATATTCCGACGTTCCTCTCCCCGTGTGCTACCGTAGCTTATTCTGACTTCTCTCTCAGCTCTTTTTCTTCTTATCTTGTTTAATGGGTGAAGACAGCCTCCCTCAACTCCCTGTAATTGGTCCGAGAATCTGAACCATCCAAAAAAATGTTGTTCACACTGCGAACAAACTGAACCATGATTCAGTTTTATCCAGACTGAGACCACCTCTTTGTAAAATCATCCACTTCAGACAAGCTTTTGGGACCAGCTCCAAAAAAACACGACTGCTCCACCCACCACCTTAAGCACCACCTGACTGACAGAAGCTGATAAGACCTCAGACACTCACAGTCCAGTGAGTTCATGGTTAGCTTGGCTGGCTAGTTAGCTATCTGACATGTCATATCTGTACTACAGTGTTTTCAGTGCTGGTATTGCTATTAGAAATTTTACAGTTAAACTCATCGCGATACAGTTCCTACCTTCAACAGTTCAGCTCTTGTTTCTGCTCCTCCATCAACACTGTATGAGCGCGGAGGCGTGGACTGCTGACCACAACACAGCCTTCTGCTTCTCCGCTTTAGTGCAGTTGGAGAAAGTTATAGTTACAGAATTAGCGCCACCACCTGGCCTGAAGCGGCTACACACTGGAACCACACGGTCGCGGAAACGGGCGGAACGGTCGTTACTTTAAATCCCACCCGTATTCGGTAAAGCCTCTCCTCCAGCGCTCTGATTGGGTCGAGCAAGGACTCAACTTTGGGCTGAAAATTGGAGGGGTTGAACAGGACCTGTTTAGTAGCTATTAAACAGCTTTTGGAGAAAATATAAAATATAACGAAAAATATACTGATTTAATCTCACCAACCAGATTCCAACCATGAAATGTTAGAGGAGAAAATTCTTCTCAATTGTATTTTAACACTAGTCAGTCCAACCGTGGTCAGTTTTTCTCCTGGGTTTGATAGTGAGTAGTAGTAGATATTAACGCTTTAATATATAAATCACAAAAATGTTTATTTTTTTATGTTTTATTACTCACAATTATATAAAAGGTCATGATTTTAACCCTAAATATCATAATATTAAAAACTTTACATGTATGTCAACACTGCATAATATTGAAATGAGTGAGAAGAGTACAAATAATGAAAAAGACAATGTGTTTCTAAGCTCCCCTCTCTTACTTCTTGTGTCACCCTCTCATGTAATAAACCTATTCTCACCTCATGTCTATCAGTCTTGGTCTCTTGTGTCTCCATGGCCCTGACTAGCTATGAAGCCCAGACAGGTAGTTTTAAAAGGGATTTTTACGCATCTCTATTTTTGAGATTTAATGTGGAAACAGCTGATAATGTGGCAGCCTACTCAGGGGCGCAGCTCTCACAGACTGGCCACTGTGTTGTGGCCAATCAAATCATTACCCTCTAAGTCATCGTTGCTATCCACAATTACCTCAAGCCTTCAGTATGAGCCTTCGGAAACAGAACAAATTCCATTCAATGTGGAAACAGCTACATGACTGCACAATCAGCAGTGCCTCATTCTCAGTTGACTTCAGAACAGCTGTGGTTTGGCACTGACTGAACCACCTGTTCTGTTTATTTCTGTACAGGCAGTGATGGACAGTAACGAAGTAAATGTAATTTGTTACTGTACTTAAGTAGTTTTTTCCTTCTTTACTGAAGTATTTCCATTTTGGGCGACTTTTTACTTTAACTCCACTACATTTCAAAGTCAAATATCTTACTTTTTACTCCACTGCATCATGTCATTCCTGTCAAAATCTGTCATTCCTTTTGGCTTTTGTGAGCATAAAAATGTGACACGTCAAAACAAAAGAAGTGCAAAGCAAGCACACCAGTCAGGGTACAGCGCAAACTTAGTTTTGAACTTGTTGTTTTAGTAGGTATGTCTGTTGGACATACCTACCCACTGCAAGCATGTCCACACTATACTTATGTCACTTTAGCAGGTAAAGCAGGACGGGGTTAATGCAAACACTGAATGACAATCACACATCAAAGAATTAGTGAACAGATAACATTGCTCTTGACTTTGTGGGTAAATAGACCACAATATAGAACTATGTACACATATGCAGTTGTGACTGCCATGTGTCTTTTTTCTGAATTTATACAAACACATTTTCTTTTACAGTAAATTCATTTCGGCTAGTTTATGTTTATGAACAGAGATCTACAGATGCAGTATAGTAAGCTAAAACTTATTTGTGAACCTGTGTTTAAAGCAAGTCTTTATTAAACTTAAACTTGTAATGAAGTTGCAAATAAATCTTAAACTGAAACTTTGCTTGTTTCCTAAAAGTTATTTCATGGCCACTCAGTTCTACTTAATAGAAATTGTTTGCCTTCAGTGTTTTGTGCTTATGATAATTTTAATGGACATCAGTGACAGACTAATTAATGATATTCTATTAAAAGATTGGTTTACCAAGAGTGACACTAGAGTATTTTCTCCTAAAATGAGTTGATTAAGCAAGAGTCTTGTTATAGAAATTATTATAGGACATTAGAGCCATAATGAATCTTTTAGTACTTTCACTTTTGATACTTAAGTACATTTGAGGGAAAATACTTTTGTACCTTTACTCAAGTAGAGGTCTAAAGGGAGGACTTCTGCTTTTACTGGAGTAATATTTTACCTTGGGTATCTCTACTTTAACTCGTACATCTTTTTTGTACTTCGTCCACCACTGTGTACGAGACACTTTGCTAACGTTGCCCAAAGCAACTTTGACTGCTTGAGATGGAAAGTTTCAGGCATACGGCACATATAGGCTACCATACAACACTGTGAAAAAATGTGAGAGCTTATGAGGGTAATAAACAGATTATGATCGTAAAATTCAAGTACATTCACTTATTTTTTGGAGCACTCATAGCTTGGCTATCTAAATCAGCATGCTTTAGGCTAGTTCCAGTAGCTCCTCAGTTTACACTATAGGATCTGTATTTGGCTATGTCGGTGACCAGATCAGTGTTTTGCGGGTTGATACCATTCACCGATTGCCTTTCAGCATGATCAGATGACAGCTGATACCAATATTATCAACGTTTTTCATATCAGTATTAGTAATAGCAACACATTTTTAATAGCCATTATTATATCAGTATATTCAATGTTTCACCATATTTTATTGTTTTATAATCAAATAATTATTACCAAAAATATTATAGAGGGGTGTAGAGGGTATCATAAAAAATAGGATTTCCTCGCTTACTCACAGTAAAAGAGTCTGATGTACTACACAAACATTATTAAGGTTTCAAAATGTACCATTCACTCTCCAGCCCAGACAGTCCATATATGGAAACTAAGTGATAAGAACAGCTTGTTTCTATTTGATTGTTTCTGTGACAAGAACCGTGCCTGCATATATGTGCCTATTCTGTCTACAGCAGTTTAGCCCCGCCCACTGGGCTTTCTTCTGGAGTTTCAGGGAATGGAGAGGCCAGAGCATCCTAAGATAGACAAGGTGTTTCTATCCGATTTGCAGCCGCTTCGCGAGTTTCTTTCATCTTTAAAGTTTGTCTGGCTCTCTCTCACGACTCCTCTTGGTCCTCCTCACTTCTAGACATTTACAAATCCAGAAGCAAAAGTCAGAAAACCTCAGGTAGCCCTGACAGAACAGCAGAGTGCTCCCTTCTACAACGCTGCCATCTTTATTTATCCTGTAATTTGCTACTCACTGTTCCAGTATAACATCTCAGAAAAAGCCAAGCTCTTAGCTAAGCCAATAACAGATACACTGCTTGTCATTACAAAGTGGAGTCATTTGGTTTAGGCAGCTAAAATTATTAAAGGATTTTCTTGTATTTAATATTTTCCACTTATGACATATCAGTAGCTTTATGTACCGAATATTGTAATAATTTATTTCTACATGATCATTTTCAAACCTCTCTTTATTCCTTGGAATTAAGCTAGTTTTTGTTACTGTGCCTTTGAAACTGATATATATCTCTGTTCTGTTTGGCTGCTTTCTATCGTACTTGTTCAAAAATCACTCCAAACTGAAACACTGGATAACTTCAGTGAGAGTGGGCAGGGCTAAACTGCTGTAGAGTAAATAGGCAAATAAATGCAAAAGCACTGGTTTTCATGACATCACAAACAATCAATTTGAAAAGCTGTTTTTGCAGCTTAGTTTCCACATATGCACTGTACGGACATGAGATTGAACTCTGAAAACTTATAAAACTTAATAATGTTTATGTAACACATCAAACTTGGTAGGCTTGTTCAACTTAACCTAGTGCTGCGAAGGCTATTGCCAGCTGGCTCGGTACCATGCATTTTTTTTTTTTGTCAGCCTTGCATTTTGCGCTACTGGGGCATCACAATGACACACCACAGCTGGTTTATGGGGAGCTTGGCCATTTCCTATTTTTCTGTTTAGATAAAGAAAATGACTGCAAAATACCAGAACGTGTCTGCAAGCTTATCCTCAACGAGTAGTGTTCAATGGCTATAAACGTATAAAATAGTTTATGGTAGCTTGTGCTAATAAATTAAAATAGCTTTAAATCTAGCTGAACTGACCATCTGTGATGTATTTTTTCTCAGTTATCCCATACATAGAGCAATCAGAAGAGGCACAAATGATATTAGGTTTATTCTGGTGCCTCTGGCCTATCACTAAATAGAAGTAAGTGCAAACTTTTAGCTGTAAAACAATACAAGAATGAATTACTCTTCAACATTACAGTTAAATCCCAGGTCACATAGTTATTGTGATAACAAAAGGATGCTAAAGCTACATATATATTAATTTTTGATCCAGCTATTAATAAGATTCAGAAACAGTTCAATTCATGGCTCTTGTGAGATCTAACTTCAAAAAGAATAATACTGATAACTAAAGCTGAAGACAATTCACTCTATATGTTGACGCATCGATAAGCAAATCAATAAACCAGACCCGCTTTTTAGGTTTTTATGGAAAAATAAAAATTACTGGATAAAACACTTTGTTATAATGAACACAGTAGGCCACTAAAAGGGCCATGTTAAAAAATCTTAACAAATCGTGAGCCAGAGAACACTATGTTTTTATTTCATTTTTAAATAACATTTTGCTATAACCTAAACTAGCCATTAATATTTCAAAATAAAGCAAAACATCAACAGCGAAATACAAGCACTTGTAATAGACCTTAAAATATATATGTTCCCAGGTCTGCTTGATCTAGATAACTGGCAACTTTCCTTTGCTGCAAGCTCATTCATTCTTGGAATCAGTTTCTGAGCTGCTAAATGTTCATATTGGTTGCAGCGTAAACCCAGCTAGTGTGTTCGGTTATATGACTGGTACAGTAGAATTGAGGTGTAACCGCTGTTCCAGAGATTGTTGTTGGGGGAGGGGGTGGGAGCGCACATTACATTGCAGTGCTCGCTCGGGGATTGTAGTCTGGGGCATTGTGAAACAGGCTAACATTAATAGAAAATTGAAATAATTTTGTAGGCCAGATAGGACTGTGTGGGCCTTCTGTTTGATATATGGGCAGTGGACAGCGTCAACCCTTCAAATATTTTATCACAAATACAGTGAGAGAATTAA